CACACATTAAACCGAAATCGCATGCAACGATCCACCAGCTGTCAACATCTTCGGTTTCAGTGAGTTTAGGATTGTCATGACGGCAGCTATCATAGTTTTGTGACAGTATGTTTTTAGAAATTCAGTTGCTATATAGACCGTGGCCTTACCACGATTGTTTGCATCGCAGTTAGGAATAAAAACTTGAAACTAAAACTGAAAGGCTTTTCGAAATATCGATTTGGGAAGCAATTTTGAACATGTGCTGATGCAACACAGTGCTAGAGGCCTGCAAAGGATGACTGAAATGTCTAATTATGAATTGAGGAACTCACATGTCATGGGAAGATTGTCGCAGATATCTTCTCGAATAGGATGATGGATTCTCGTAAAAGGAAGTAGTTTGTGAGAGGCAATTCGTCGTTTAGAACAGAATACGAATGGAGAAGCAGCAACGAACAGAGCATTCTTAATATGACGTTTAGTGCACGCGAGAGTGAATCTTACAATGAGATTAATGAGCATGAATTAGCGTCAATGTTTGAAAATTAGGGACATGAATGTGGTCGGTGATTACATTGCTAATCGAGAGCGAAAGGCGATCGAATTCTACTCTCTAGAATAAATGGTTGCAACGACGACAAACCAAGATTGTTGACAATATTTTTGACAGTCTGCAAACATGCACGAAGCAGCGCGTGCATGTTCGAAAAAAAAACCCGATACCATGATTGAGAAAATGATCGAGAATTTGCAAACCCTACGCGTTATGCTCTGATCGATCTATGTCCTTGGTAACAATGATCATCAACATTTACGTAGATAACATTTAATATAATTCATATATATTATTATTCACAGTTTATTGACACATGATTATAATTCATTATAATTCATCATACTTCGCTAATTATGATTCAAATAACATAACATTCAAGTAACATTTATTCAGACATCAGCAATCGACGGATCGGTGATGTATGGAAACGCCTAGCTGCGACGCAAAGCAATTACGATGACAGTTACAATGATGCAGCGGTGGTATCATATTTTTGTTCTCTTGCTGGTAACAGTTGCTGTGGTGTATCTATTAGTGGCGGACTCGAGTGTCGAAATCGCCCGGTATCATAGAAGAATCCTCAACGTCGACGGGACGTCTACTGCATCCAGTGCAGTGGACGGGACGTCTACTGCATCCAGTACAATGGACGGGACGTCTACTGCATCCAGTGCAGTGGACGGGACGTCTACTGCATCCAGTGCAGTGGATGAGACGTCTGCTGCATCCAGTGTAATGGACGGGCCGTCCACTGCGTCCAGTTCACTGGACGGGACGTCCAATACATCCAGTTCACTGGACGGGACGTCCAATACATCCAGCTCACTGGACGGGACGTCCAATACATCCACTCAAGGATCAGAATCGTCAACAAAACGTTCGTAATTTCTCTCACTTCCTAAATTTTGAGTACTCGTAAAAGTCAGTGTATATGCGAAAGGCTACGATCTGATTGCAAACAATGAGGTTCTTGTACGTTTCCTGAGGTAGCAGTGGATTTCATTTCGTTGTAGCCAAACCATCCTTAAGTTCATCGAGCCTCATAATCAGATTTTTTTTTTTCATGCATCAAAGACCTTTCCAAGTAAACTAATACTCCTGATTACTTCTAACACTTTCAAAAAATAAAGAAAAAGGATTCAGTTACTCATCGAGTGTAATGCGATGCTAAACAA